GGAATGTGCTAGGTATAGCAGTGAAGGAATCTGTGCTGAGGCATCTCTGAATTGCACCAGTGCAGTCCAGCAGACACCAGGCACATTCCCCTTACAAAGTACAGTCATTTCCCATCAGTTGTCCCCAGCTCAACAAAGCTCTTAAGCTCACACTAACATTAACATGAAACATGCGCTTAATTGCTTTGTGTCAGCAGCCAAATCTTTCTGAACTCAGAGGCTGGCTCCAGTGATTTGTAAAACAAAATGGTTCAAATGGGATAGAAAGGGAAAGGTATCAGGTCATCCCTTAAATCCTTGTTTCTCTGAGGCCTATGGAAAATTGCCCATTGAGCTCCATGGGAGCAGGATTTGGCCCAAAGACAGATCCTGTCACTAGTATGCCTCAGCCTTAAAACCTTGATAGGACACTGCCCTTTTGGCTCTTCAGAGTCTGGTTTAAACTCAGCTCTGAGTTTAAACCCACGGTACATGCCAAGCCCATATTCAGTGGACAGGGGCCTGAGTAGGACTCCTGGTGTCCAGGGGAGCTAAGTAAGGGTAGAGGAAAGGTTCAGCCTCCTGTCCAGAGGCATCCTGGACATGATAGCATCGTGTTTGAAAGGCAAAGGTTCTGCACCTCGGACAGAGAGTCCTTTGCTGTTAGCATTCACAGCCTGTCTTCTGTGTCACAGGGGAATGATGTCATGGAGGAAGAGGATGCATCTCCCACTCAGGAAGACGGTAACAGATATGGGCCATTCCTCCCTTCCCTTCTCATTTTGTTCTGTTTCATCAGTAGGGGCCAGACTGTACACTCAGGGCACTGGGCATTATCGGAGAAGGGGAGTTGGCTTTCCCAGGAATGCTGTCTTGCTGGAGCGGGGTGTCTTCTGTTCTATAACAATGGAGAGGGGTGGTGTAGAGCTAGGAGGGAAGTGTGAACATGGGCACTTGGTGGGGAGTCAAAAAGAGATGAACGGCCTTGGCTTTCTGTGATGGATTAGTGGAAGCAAGTCCGTGGCTGTGGAGACTCAGGCTATGAGGTCCATCATGGAGGCACAGGATGAGCTTCCATCTGCAAAATAGACTATGTGGACACAGTAGTCTCCAACACCCTGAGTTTTCCCTCTTCTTTCTCCTTACGCTCCCCTGATAGTTATTTTGAGCTGTGGTGCAGGTCACCTGGTTCTTAGAAGGCAGCAGAAATTAGAGATGGGTCTGAGACAAAGAACTGAGGGCCAAGAACATCTTGCAGATGAAGGGTCTCCTGCACTGAGGGTTTGGTTCATGTCCCTCTAGAGCAGAAACTAAAATGTCCCCTTCACCCCACCACCAACTCTGTATGGGCTGATTACTTTCTCTAGTGGGTGCATGAGATATGGTCACGTTTGGAGTGAGATTGCAGCACAGGAGAAAAAAAATCGCATGGCGTGGAGTCACAGCAGGTCCATCCTGCTCCTCCCCTGCCTGCTTGTGCCTGCTTACCAGGCAGTGCCAGCTCTAATGGCAAAAGCTGGGGTCAGGCAGAAAGAAGAGAACTAGCAGATGAGCAGAGGAGTGTCATGAACTCTGGAAAACACAGTGATGTTCGCTGTAGGCTGCACACAGCCTGAGGACTGCAGCTTGGTGTGCTCAGGCAGCTCCGAAATATTGCTTCCTGGGACCCTGCGCAGAAGGGGGCTCCTTAGAGTCTTTCTGAATTGAAATCCACTCCCATCCAGAAGACCAGCATGAGACCTAGGTACCGGGCAAGCCCTCAAAATAAAGGAGCAGGCCTCAATTGACCCTCTGTACTGGGTGAAATTCTTCTCCACCCTTCTAGCAAAACAATAACTGGGCCCAGTGCAGCTTTATATGCTTCAGTGGCATTCAGCACATTTTGGGGTGTTTCATCCCAACTTCCTTTAGTGGCCACCGCTATAAGGAGCAAGGAGTTGGCTGAAGCATCCAATGTTCTGGAGGTGTCCTAAGAGACCAGCTATAGCCAGAAGAGACCTGGGCCACCCTGCCCCAGAAACCATCCTCATGGGTCAGCAGACATCCTCTCTCCCTTTTCCTCCCACTTTCCTCCCTCCTCTACCTCAGGCCATAGCTTTATGCTTTAGCGCTGGCTGCACGGGTAGAGATCCCGTGGGCGTGCATGCTTACCTCATACGCAGCCCTCCGAGCAGCCAAACCAACGCGCCTCCCTTTGTCAAGAGAGGTCCATGTTGGAAATCCCTATGTCGCCATTGGAACTGGGGATTGGACGGTCTCTGAAGAGGGGTTCCTTGACTCGTACTACGTCTGCAGTATGTCAGGATTTTACAGTCCTTTTTTTTTTAATCCTTATTTTTATTTAAGGGAGGCATTTTCAAAGACACGACTCTGAGCCGTCAGTTCCCAACGAAAATCCCTCTTGTTTGTGGCTTTGAAAATCTTTCCTGCCAATGTGGTTGTCTGCATTGGGTCTTTTCTTTCTTTTTTCCTTTAGTCAGGGGGGACAAAACTATCCCCTTGATTTGTTTCATTTTCCGTAGTGCGCTTTAGTGAGTCAGCAGACTTACGTTTTGGATTTCTCTGCCCTCTGGAAAAAAAAAGGTGCTGAAAAGGATGACTTAGTCCAATGCCTCAGTCTGTTCCCATTGAACTCAATGGCCAAACTTCCACTGATTTCATTGGGATAGTTAATGAGGCACAGACGGCCACCTTTTTTCCTCCCTTTCCATGTTTGCCTGTCTCTGGTTAACAAAAAACACCCCCCCAAAATGAAGTTGGAAAAAATATTTTCCCCCGGTGATGTGGTATTGCCAAGCATGAATAATAATGGATCCTGAGCTCCACTGTTTGTTTCTTTGTCATAAAATCCTGCTAACTTGCCCTGATGACAAGGAGGCTCGTTATAAGTTGCTGAAACTTGAGGGTCAGCAAATAAAGAAACATGGTTGTAAAGCCATCAGAGATTTGGCTCCACAAAATGCTTTTGTTCATTCATGCTAATAATTGTAGCTTAGTTGAATGATAATCCGGTCACTTCAGGCACCAGTCAATAAGTTGGCTATGAAAATTTTCCACTTTAGGGACAAAAGAGCTGATGTCCTTCTTATTTAGAAAACTGTTGGATGTGTTTACACTGTGCAATTCAGAGTAGAAGCAATATACAGTGTGTCTGTAGTGCTCCCACAGTGCTTCTGAGTGTGTGACTGAGCTCATCCCTCTGCCTACCCGTACCTCCTTTGCATATACCAGAGCTGGACGTGAGGCAGGGAAGTCATCCTGAGTGGTGCCCGTCATCTCTGCTCTCCATGTCTGTCTCCTGAGTGCCTGAGGTTGGAAGCAGAGGGGAATGCTGTCAGGGTGACTTCACTACCTCACTTCCAGCTTTGATGTGTGTGGAGGGGGATCTGGGGTGGCTTGGGGCAGGGTCTCTCCTCAATGTCCTTGGCAGCTCTGTAGAAGCTGGTTAGACCTATCCATAGTCATGCTAGTACAGAGGTTTGTGCAAGTTTAGAGAGTGTGTAGAGCTAGTTGCGGTGTCTCTACATTTCACTACGTTGTGTAGTGTAGACATACCCCTAAAAGTTAATGGAGATGCACCCACTGATTTCTCTGCTTTGGATGGGTCTCCAGCATGAGTGTGAATTGGGAACATCTGTTGTAAGTTGACTTCTGTGTGCTTAAGAATAGGTCAAAGGGCATTTATAGACATGCTCTGGGAGGTACGGGGGGTCGGGGGGGGGCTTTAATTAGAATGGTTCCGAGAGTCGCTCTAATTAAAGTACCCAGAGCGTCATATGTATCAGTATCCCCACATTGAAAGATGGTGGTATGGGTGCTTTTGTTTAAAGAGCCCCCACCGCCATTTGTCAGTGCGGGGATGCTGATGCCCGTGACTCTGGAGTCTGCTGGAATGCAGTAATTACTGTGCTCCAGCAGACTCGATTAATTGAGTCTGCTCCGGTGTGTTGTAATAACAGTGCATCCAGGCAGCCTCTCTGCATGTGTATAGGTGCCCAAAGAGACAAGGATCAAATCCAGATCCACTTGGTCATTGTTACCTTGTAAGAATGAATTTTACTTGCCACTAAAAAAAAAAAAAAATTGAGTAGCATTTGGCAATGCTTGACTGTAGGTTATTGTGTCAGCTTAGTTAGGCTTGCCACTTCTACCCAGCACCGTCTTGGCTATCAGCTCTGTACTGCAAAGTGAGGGGTGGTGGCTGGCACTGTGCCTCCTTCAAAAGGTGGCAGTTGACTATCTGTTCTTCCAATGAGCAAAGCAAGAATTGGTGAGATTCTGCTATTCTGTTATTTTCCAAAGCCACGTACCCCCGTCATAAATCCCTCAGATACAAACCAGAGGCAACCTGATGCATGGACAAGGGGTAATCCTATTAGCTGCTTTCTTTAGCTTTTCCAACCTACTCTTTTCTCTGCCTTTTTTTTTTTTTTTTACCTGCATATGTATTGCTCTTCTGGGTAATTGTCTGAAGTACCTTCCTGTGTTCCATGGCCCTCCTCACTGATGGAAAAGTCACAGCTCAAGAAAAGAGACAGTTGGAAAAAACAGAGTAGGATGGCATGAAACACACACGCACGCAGCAATGATCTGACTCCTTATTGTCCACTCTTTACCCACTCAGTTACCATTGTTATTTTTAGATACATAATTTTTCTATATTTTTGTCTCTTCCATGTATAACTTTTATTTTAAAAGGGAAAAAAAAAAAATCAAAGTGGGAACCCTCCCCCAAAACCCAGTCGCCTCTCTAACTGCGTTAACTCCGTTACAGGCCAGAGGACAGGCGCTTACCTAGGTATGGAGTGTGACAATAACAATGACATTGGCATCGCAAGCGTGAAAGCTCTGGACAATAAGCTGTGCTCTGAGGCCTGCTTACCTGGTGAGTGGCAGTCTGCTGAACATGAACTTGGGCTGGGGGTGTGATTTCCACTCTCCCCCACTTCCACCCTCCCTGCTTTTGAACCTCCATCACTTGCCCCACAGCGGCCTGGACAACAGATGCGAGCATCACTAGGAGCAGAGGGTCACCAGAAAACAGGCAAAAGGTGTTTAGCTCCAGTGTTCAAAGCAGCCCCCACAGAAGCACCATCTGGCCTCAGGGCTACCAGGGCAGAGCAGAGCAGGAGAGCAGGGCTCAGACTTGTTATAGAGGGTGTTGACTGAAAATGAATGATTTACCTCTTTGAGCCAGTGTGTCCAGTAGATCTTATCCCTTTTTGCTTGCTATGTGAACCCTTCACCAAAATCGACTGCCTCCTCATGAGCAGAGCAAGCTACAGACCTGTCCGGCCAAGGGACAGAATAGAGAGTTGTGTCTGTAGCCCAGTATGTCTTAGTGGGTCAGATCTGGATGGAGCGGATGATCAGGGGCCTCCATTTCCTCACTGTTTCAAAACCTTCTGTGTTATACCCGTAGGAAAAAGGGTTCAAAAAGCTACTTTGGGATATGTTGCAGGATCGAACTCTTTGGAGGCAGAGTGGAAAAAGGGTCTGAGGGAGCCTTTGCTTTTCTTCATGTCTAGTCAGTGTTGGTTGAGCATGAGGGAGGAACAAAGCTCTCATGGTAGGTTGTCCTACCTACAGAGCTTTCCTAGTGTATAAAGGAGAGTTACGGAGATTGTTTTTTGTTATTGGCCAGGATTGTATTAGAGTCCTCTTGCCTACCAAGAGCCAACATATTGCAACACCCCAGCTTCCAGCACAGTTAGAAAAAAGATCTGAGCTTGTATCAGGGCAGGAATCAGCCATTTCCACATTTCTGAACCATGCCACAGTCCTGCGGGTTGGAATGTAGTTCAAACATGATGCAGTCTTGTATGCGATCTGATGTAAACCATGTTCCAACTCAAAGTGGTCTGCTGTGGTGTTCCTAGTTCTCCTGTCAACACAGTGGCTTTGGGTAGTCTAGAGAGCCCTTGAGCTGAAGCAGTAGGTCTGCAGGTGTACGTTAGAACGTATGCTTCGTTTAGGCAGGCTTGGAAATGCAGGACTGGATGTCCTGCTGATGTAACCCTGCATAACTCTCTCAACTCCGGCAGAGCTAGACACTGAATCTCATCAGCAAACCATTTGGCTTGCACAGTTTGCCACACCCAGTAGCCTTCAGACTTTGCCAAGGAAGAGAGAATGAAATTATACCAGGCCTCCTCCCACTTAAAGAAAAACAGTAGCCACTTGGCAACTTCATGGCACAACCAGGAGCCTAAGTGTCTCCATTTTTTTGATGTAAGCATCAGTGTTTCATAAAGCACCAACTACAAGACAGCTGTTAATGGTGGGATAGTCTAGTCATTGCTGCTTTTAATACTCCAGCCAGCCACCCTAGTGACCCACCCCTCTTTCCTGTTCTTTCTTTCTTTATCCATTTCTTCTCTCCACATTTCTTTTAACCAACTATGGGTCTCTTTCTCTCTCTGTCTTTCTTTCCTCTGTTGAGTTTGTTTTCACTGGACACCATCTGTGTGAAAGTTCATGTTCACTCTGTGCCAACACAGTTTTCTCAACCCATGCTTGTGTCCTCTCCATGCTCCGGGTTGCTGAATGGTCACAAATGGATCAATGAGCCGTTTGTGCATCAGGCTGGGAGTGGGCTTGAGGACTGAAGGATCAGGACTGCCGCATGCTCTTTCCTGTTTGTGGGGGTGGCTTCCTTATGTCAAGCCGAGGGCCAGGCAGAGTTCTTAGTTTGGCACGGGTGCAAAGAGTAAGAGGGTTTGATCCCTGCAGTGGCTCAAATTGAACACTTGATGCCAATGGGCTGATTTTGGCTCGATATCAGTACATTTGTGGCCATGCTTAAAGCAACCCCTGCACCCCACTGCTACCTATTCCCTTTCTGCAGAATCAGTGGCAGACTCTGGAGCTGTAGACCCAGCAGCTCCTTGAGGGCTCTAGGCCTGAGCTATTTGAAAACCCTCCCTTTTGTCTTCCAAGGGCTCTGGTTTTCATAATGGTTTTGGGGGTTAGGGGGAATCCTTTCTTATCCCTCCGCTCCCAGAACAATGCTAATGCTTCTTCCACTACCTCCTCTCCTTTCACAGCCGTCCTGTTTTGGTGTAATTTATTCCACTTGGGGAAATTTATGAAGAGGTTGAGATGATACTGGCTCTTGCTGTGGAAGTGCAGCCAAGGGAATTTCCCTTTTCACTTTTTTCTTGGGGCAGCAGCTGGTATAAAACATCCACAAAGCAAATCAGACTCAAGGTTTCAGCCATGCAGGCTGTGTGTCTACTTATCCACAACTATATAAAAACCCAGAGTCACAGGCCTCCAAGCTCCATGGCTTTTTAATCATAGCTGTGGGTCCATTTCAATGTTCAATGATCAGGTTGTTTTAAACTTCCCTGCAGTGGTTATACCTTTCCTTAATCAGAGGCTTTATTAATAAGTCAGCCCCATTGTGGCAGATAAGGAAGGTGCAAAGGGCCATGTTCTGCCCAGTTCTAGATGTAGAGCCACTGCTTTCAGTGGTGTTCCCTCACATGCACATTCGTGCTGCCCCTGAGTTCATAGCTCTTGGTCAGCCTAATGGTGCAAACAAAGGGAATGTCTCAGGATCCCACGTGGAATAAAACAAGTGTTTAATGGGTCTGATGTGTTTCCAGCCTCTGGCCAGCAGTTGTCTGATATCTTTGCTGCTTCTGAGCTCTTATAGTAAAGCTGTCTTCAACCTTGTGCATGATGCAGAGTGCAGCATGGGTCTCCTAGCCATGCTCTGGGCTTGCGGTATCTGAATTCAAGCCCATCTTGTGCTTTAGAGTAGGATATGCTTTATTTACCTTGGTTTGCTGGGAGAGGGAAGCACCTTCACAAAGCAAAATGAAGCACAGCACCTCCAGGCTGCCTATCCATGGACACACCGAGTCCCCGCTGCTTCCCACAGGCCATACGCTGTCTATGGAACCCGTAGTGGCAGCAGCTCTCTGCATGACCCGATCTTCTTTACAGTGTCTGTGTGCA